GTCGTGAAGCTGGTTGCTGTCAGGATGGTTTTTCTGGAATCTATTTTCTTTGGACTTAGCTTTTGGTCTCAGGGGTTTGGACTTTTTTAATCTTTTGAAGATGAAAGTCCTTTGTTCATTCCTGTGAGTTCTCTCAGTCAGTGGTGTTCTAGACTATAAAGGGCAGTGGGAGAAAAAGCTGATTTCCTAGGTTCTGGGTTTCCTTGGGTTGCTTTTCTTAATGGGCTCAGGGAGATATCAACTCTAGACATTTATTTTAAAACTCGAGTCTTGGGTAATCAACTACAGTAATTTAACAACAAAGTGTGAAGACAGTTTTCTCCCTAAAATACATGCATGTTTCCGTATGCTTTAGTGGTGACTGTTAAGCCGTCTTTTTTTTGTTTGTTTATTTTCGGCTGCGTTGGGTCTTTGTTGCTGCGCGCAGGCTTTCTCTAGTTGTGGCGAGAGGGGGCTACTCTTCGTTGCGGTGCGCGGGCTTCTCATTGCAGAGGCTTCTCTTGTTGCAGAGCACAGGCTCTAGGCACACGGGCTTCAGTAGTTGTGGCACACAGGCTCAGTAGTTGTGGCTCACGGGCTCTAGAGCGCAAGCTAAGTAGTCGTGGCACACGGGCTTAGTTGCTCCGTGGCATGTGGGATCTTCCCGGACCAGGGATTGAACCTGTGTCCCCTGCATTGGCAGGCGGATTCTCAACCACTGAGCCACCAGGGAAGCCCTGTTAAGCCATCTTGATCCCTGGGACTGAAATGGTGTAGATTCCACACGGTGGAGCGGTTTCCGTATAAAATGGAAACCTTGGGAAGAGGAGATTTGGGATTTGCTTTGAACTTTGAATTAGTCGCTGCTCTTCTTTTAAAAAATGACTGGTTTTTCTTTGATAAATCACAAGATTTTATAGGTTTCAGGAAGAACAGAATAACGACATGGTTCATGCCTCTCATTGTCTTAAAACGATTAATGAAAGAAATTCACTTAGGAAGCCACGCCAAAGAGCCTGTAAATGTTTGCAAGAAATTTAGTTGGACACTTTATCCATTTATCTTTTTTTAAAAAAGAACCCTTATAACCCTGATATCTTAACTGTCTTAGCAGTTAAGATACGTTTTATCTTACACATTAAAAAAAGTTACATATACACCTGCTGCAACAAACTATATTTGTGATTATATATCAGTGTTCTCTTTCTTCATTGCCTGTGACTTTAGTGATTGTACCTGTGTTAATGTCATGCTTATCCAAACATGTCTTTTCTGTTTGATCTATTGTAATTTTTTTCAAATAAAGTTATCATAGCTGAACTATGTAAATACCCACAGGCACATATTATTTTTTCTGTACTGATTGTCACTCTTACAGCTCATTGTTTGAGAGGCCCTGTAAAAATGACCCATACAAATGACTTCCCATTTGCCAGGCACTGTCGTAAGTGCCGCCTCCTGTGACCTTCCCTATGAGAAAGGAACAGTGTAACATCCCTGGAGGAAGGGGACACGCACGGAGGTTAAGTAACCGGGCCAAGGCCGTAAGCAGCGCACAGCTGAGACCTGAACCCAGGCCGCCCGGCTCCGGGGAGCGTAAGGGGCAAGAGTGGGGTTTCGGAGCTCAGGCACTCACCTAACCTGTGGCCTCGGGCAAGTTGCCTTTCCTCCCTGAGCTTCAGTTTCCTCATCTGTCAAATGGGGCTCAATCCTGCCTCGCCTGGATCCATCACGTGATGGCCAAGAGCGCTCAACGCGAGAACCGTCACGGAGCACGTGCCTTTTTACACTTCTGGGTTCTTCCGCCATCTTCACTGGTAAATTGGGGGTCCACTGTCCCATTCTCTGCTTGGGTTGATGGCTGTGTTTGCCAGTAGGAGCTGTGGTGAGGCGTGGTCTGTCCCCGCGCTGGGAGCAGGGACACCGGGGTCTGTCGGGGTCTCGCTGAGTCCCAGGCACTGTGCCCGAGGCTCCGGTGCACAATGGCACGAAGCAGGCTTGCTCGCTGAATATTGAAGCATTGCACACCTCAGGGGTTCTTTCTGGCCTTTGGGCGTTTGGCTCCGCTGGGGGAGAAGGGAAGACGGTTGGAAATAGAGACCGTATCTGTGTAGTCTGTCAGCATGGGGGGCCACTCCTGGTGTTCCTTAGCTGCATGTCAACTCCTGTAAATGGAAATATCTAAGCGGATGTTTCAAGGAGTGGCCAGAAGGATGGGGTGGGGTGGGCGGGAGACAGCTAAGTGTTCACAGTGAAGGGGACTGCAGGAGGGCAAGGTTTGCCGAGGCTGGAAGAGCCACATGTTGGCCGCTGCTACCTGGAGGTCCAGAAGAATGGTGACCATAGGGTGTCCTTTCCATTTGGTTGTGGGTGGTCTCTGGTGACCTTGGCTTGGGTGGGGTGCTGGGGCTGGGGGCGACGCGGCTGAGTTCACTGCGAGCGAGCTCGGGGGGGCTGGGGTGCACCCTCCGGCTGCTCGCTGGGGCGCAGGGATTCTCTCCAGGAGTTGTCGCCTCCCCTCAGCCCCCCACCCAGAGTCCCCTGCAGAAAAGCACCTGAGGAGAACAGGAGTCATCCCCAGACTGTGCCCACGTCTTTGGCAGGACAGACTTGTTTTCTTCCATCACCCCCGCCCCCCGTACATAAAAGTGCTCAGGCGCGATAGCGAACACGCACAGCTCCACTTCTGGGTGTGCCTGCCCCGTGGAAACACGGGTGCCCGGATGTGCACAGCAGCACTGCTCTCAGAGCCCCAAACTGGAAACTACCCAAACGCCCGTGTCCTGTAGGATGGATCCGTGAACAGGGCTGTAATCGAACTGTGGAATATTATACAGCAACGAGGAGGAATGAACGTCCACAGCAACATGGATGAATCGCACAAACGCTGTTGAGTGAAAGAAGCCTGGCACAGAAGAATAGATACTGTATTATTCCGTTTATAATGTTCAGAAACAAGCAAAACTAACCTCTGGTTTGAGAAGTTGGGGGGAGAGGAAGCGGGCACTGGTGATGTTCTGTTTCTTGATCTGGGAGAAGGTCCCATGGTGGGTTCACTGTGGCAGTTCACTGAACTGCACCCCTATGGTTGTACACGTACAACACGTATGTTGTAATGCAGTGAAAACGTTCTGACAGACACACCAAGGAACTCCCCTTGCTGAGCTGTCAGCACTGCCACTGAGATGTGTGGTTAAGGCCTCGGGTTGGGTAGGACCTCGGTTTCAGTCCCAGCTCCCTGACCATGGGAGGCCACACCACGCCTCTTGGGTCTCAGATGCACCCCTACCCCTACCAACGCGGCATTGTGCTCACCTCCTAGGGTGACGTGAGGGCTGAATGAGCTAGAAGGGTGACCAAGACTGGCCCGGGGCATTTCCCTAGTGACAGAGGCCCCCTTACCCTGGGGTCCCCTCCCGAGGCTCACTTGATCCCCAGTGGGTGGCACTTCGTAGAGGCTGCCACAGTAGACCCTGCATCTTCATCTTCTCCATAAATCAAAGTGCAAATGCCCTGGGCCAGTCATATTATTAAGGTTTAAAACAGATTTTTGGCTTTTAAAGGGCGTTTGGGCCGCCAGTGCTGTGAACCTCCTTCCTCAAAGGCATTCACGCATTCACGTCCTGCTTGTACCTGCGGCAGCCCTAACGAGGGCTTTCAAGCTGAGGAAGCTGAAGCTCGCTGGTCGCTGGTCGTGTTTCTCCTCCCTTCTGGCCAAGCTGGTTGCACTCTCCCTCCCTGTCTCTCTGGTTCCCCAGCCCCGAGGCAGGAAGTGGAGATTGGGCTGTATCTCCCAGGAAGTGAAGGGTATCTGCAGATGCTGCAAGTCCACCTGGGCTTGGCCATCCTGCATCTTTGCAACACTGACGATGCTCACCTTCGTTGCTGCTCCATGTTAGTCCAAAGGATGCACGATCCTTCGGAACCAGGGGCCCACTCCCAGAAGCATCGTTCTTGGACTTATATCCATCTTGGTGTTTGCCATCTATGAAGTGGGCATAATGGCTTAGTCTAGTATCACTGCCAGTGTAAGGGAGAAGGGCTTGGTCCCTTTACCTTGTTTTGTCCGGAAGTCCTTTTCCAAACCCCCCACTCTCCCTGCCAAAGACGCTGCCATTCACCTCTTTTTCTGCTTTTTGTCTAAGGCTGTGCTTGTAAACCCCGGCTGCTATTAGAGACATCTGGGGTGCTTTAAAAAGTACAGGTTTCTGGGCCCCCTCCCCAAAGATAATGATTCATTTGGTTCCGAGAGGGGCAGGGTGCTGGAGCCCACTTTGTGCCAGTCTGCCCACCACTGTTCTCAGTGACTTCACTTTGGTAGCTTGAAATCTTCCAAGATGAAAATTGGCAAACACCGCAGATCGGGTCCTAGAGAGCCGGTTATTAAACGTTTACCAGCCCCCACTGGGCTAGGGCATCAATGTTTTCTCAAAGTTCCCATGGTGATTGTCACACGCAGCCAGGGCTGAGCACCACTGGCCTAGGTAACCCATGATAGGCATAGTAAGGTTGACGTTTACACTGTAGCTCACAGCTATCCAGCCCTTCCAGTGGTTAAGCTATTTATATGAATTAGATCACTTAACTCTCACAACAACCCATGAAGGAGGATTATTATTCCCATTTTTCAGACGAGGAAACTGAGGCCTGGATAGCTTACCTGGCAGTTGTCCAAGCCCACCCAGCTAGGTAGTGGCTGAGTCTGGATTTGAGCCCAGGCCGGAGTCCCCGGGACCCAAGCCTGTCCAGGGCCTCTGGGATGACTTGGTCGGTACCCCACTCTCCCCAGCAAGTTGTTGCAGAGTTCATTTTTCTTATTGTCCAAGGTGACCACGGGGTCTGAGCCTGTGACCTGTAGCCTGCTACAGGTCAGCCTGGAACGGGCAGTCATCACCAGGGGTCACCGGCTCTGGGCAAGTCTCCATCGAGCTTAGGCAAGATGCTTGGACTCTGAGCTGGGAGAGTGAAACCCAGTCACTAATGAGCTTTTGGTGCCGATGTGTGTTTTCTCCCCTTTCCAGTGGAACACGACAAAGAGTTCTTCCACCCACGTTACCACCACCGGGAGTTCCGGTTTGATCTTTCCAAGATCCCAGAAGGGGAAGCGGTGACCGCAGCCGAATTCCGGATCTACAAGGACCACATCCGGGAACACTTCAGTAACGAGACGTTCCGGATCAGCGTTTACCAGGTGCTGCAGGAACACTTGGGCAGGTGGGTGCTGTACTGGTGCCTGGGAGAGGTCCTGAGCTGCTTCAGCTGCAGAGGAGCTGGTGGCCAGAGGATGCGGCCAGACTGGTCATGACCGCTCCCCCAGTGGATCACCAGCCACGTGCCCTGGATGGAGTATCTCTTTTCAGAGATGGTGTATGGTGTATGTCTCCACCTCTTAAAACTATCACCGTCAGCAGATCGAGTTAGGAATAGGGGACAGCCAGGTGAGCCTGGGATTGGGTGGCCCCCGTGGGTAATTATGGGTGGTCTGGGTCAGCCTGTGTTTCGGGGGAACGAGGAGGAGGAAGAAAGCTTTTTGACGGCTGCCTCTCTCCCATTCATCACTGAAACCCAGCATGTGATGTCAGGCCGCCAATGAAAGTGGCCATTTGTAATAAAATGCTAGGGGATAAAAATCCCCAAATCAAAAATAAACAGGCAGAGAACTCTCAGCCTTCCAGGAATCTTGAGGTCAGGAACGAAAAGCTTGGGTTGAAGGACTTTCATTTCTGGAGACCCTTCCGTTTCGTTTCAAAGTCCTCTGAGAGGTGAGAAGGCTAAGAGAATGGGCTGGAACTTCTAACAGGGACATCCTGCAGTCCCGAGGTGGTGCTGCCTGGTGGCTGGGTTTTTGGACATCGCGGGCTGTTGGACTTTTACTCCCACCGGCACCACCTGCCACTCCTCATAACAGAAGAAAGGTGGTGTGGACGCCCCCTTCTGCTGGGCTGTCCTAGCGTCTTCAGCGGGAAAGGGGACCTCGTAGCACATTTGGAGACATAGCGACTCTCAGCACCTGGCTTGGCAAGCACTGTCATTTGGAAGGTCAACTTAAATACTAAGAAAACCAGGCTTTTCTTGAGTGTTTCCAGTGTTTCGCCTTCATTAACTGCCTCTGCCCCCAGTTTCTTGCGTTGTCTCAAATCAGCAGATAATGCGTGCATTTAAATCTTTTCACAAATGGTATCTCGTCATAGAGTCTCTCCTGCACCTACTTCTATCACCAAACCTTGTCAATCTTGACAGTAAACCTTGACCATCCTTCCACGTCCCTTCCCAGGGGGCATCCTTGTTCTTTTCATCACCACACGTCTCCAATCGTGTGGGTTGTGCTCTAAGGTATTCAGCCAGTTTCCTGCGTGCACAAGGTGGATTCTCAACTTTTCCGAATTATAGACGGTGTGAGTGGGGCGTATAACACATGTGCTTGTCTGTCAGTCGGATATAGTTCTAGAAATAGAATTGTGGGGTCCGGGGGCGCATACATTGGCGACTCTGATAGATTTTGCTGAACTGCTCCCTTTGGAGGTTATGTCAATTTATACTTCTGACAGCCACATAGAGGGGGCCTGTGGCCCCATGTGCTCCCCAGCATGGGCTCTTATTGGACTGTTTTGATCTCAGTCTGTCTGATGGGTGACACATGGCATCTCAGTGTGGATTAAATTTGCATTTTAGAGCCCCCGCTTGAACGCACTGCCCTGTACTGCTCCCCTGAGGGGATGGTAGCTTTCTGGAATGTGGGTGTGGCTCGGAAGAGGGGGTGGGCAGCAGGCAGCCTTGGCAATCACCTCCGAACCTTATAAAGGCACTCAGGTGGCCCACTTCACCCTGGTGGGCTGGACCCTGGCCCCCAGACCCAATTTCAATAAGAAGCCTTGAGTTCAGTCCCCCAGGGTAACATATGTTTGCTCTGTACTCTGACAGATCCCCCGGGACTCTTGAACAAGAGCACACGTTTGACTTCTTTCTCGTGAAGGCTGACCAACTGGGGGCGAGGCAGGTACCCAGAGGCTATTTGTCAGTAGCACTCGATCGGTCCACTTGTGCAAAAGCCAAGCCCTGCTCACACCCCAGGGCCTCCTGGCAGGCTCCCCAAACCTGCCTCAGAAACCTCCATCCAGTGGTTTAACCTCAGGAATGTAGCTGCCCCGATGGGCTTTGGCTGAGCAGGACCGGAAGGGTTGGCTGATGTCACCTGTGCAGCTCTTCCCCCAAGTTCTCCACGCAGGAAGGCATTCGCCCTCCCTGGCCGGTGGTCTCTGGGGTCAGCTGGGATGCTGCTGATGTGGGCCCCTCCCTCACGTGCGTGGGAGCTTGCTTCGTGTCTGGAGCATCCTCAGGCCCCGCCCTTGACGCGAGGGGCACCCCACCCCTCGGCCCCACGCCTGCCACGCGCACCCGCTCCACTCCACGTGCTGGGAAGAGCAGCGGAGACCCAGCAACGGGCGAGACGGGCCTGGCGTGCACGTGCCTCCCTCGCAGGGTGGGTGGGCTGTGCAGAGGCCACTGCATTTGGAGAGACCCGTGGGAGCCCAGCCATTTGCTTATTCAACCACTGCTGCTAAACCGCTGGGATAGACCAGCCCGGCTCACGGGGGCAGGGACCTCGTCTCAACTTTTTGTGAGGGCTGTACCGGTTTCCTGCCCTCACGAAGCACCACACACTGGATGGCTTGAAACAATAGAAATGTGCTCTCTCACAGTGCTGGGGGCCGGAAGTCTGATATCAGGGTGTCAGCGGGGCTGTGCTCCTTCTGAAATTTGCAGGGGAGGATCCTTCCTGCCTCTTCCAGCTTCTGGTGCTGGCCAGTCGATTGCGTTCCTGGCGCTCAGCTGCACCGCTCCCATCTCCACCTCCGTTGTCACATGGCTCTGGCATCCTCTCTGTGTGCCTCTCTCCTCTTCTGATAAGGAGACCAGTCATCTTGGCTTAGGGGCCGCTCTGCTCCAGCATGACTTTTCATTACTTAACTGATTATATTCATAAAGACCCTAATTCCAAATAAGGTCACATTCAGAGACACCAGCGGGAGGACTTGAGCGCATCTGTTTAGGAGATACAATTCCATCCATAACAGGGGGTGAAGACGGGCAGTCAACAAATAAGCAAATAAATAGGCCCACTGGCCAGACAAGGTGACTGGTGGTCCTTGACGGCCTGTTGAGCTGGGGATATTTGAAGGACTAGAAGGAACTGAAATGGGGTGCGGGGAGAGTATCTTAGGGGAACCGCAAGGGCCACCGCCCTAAGGTGCAGACAAGCACGTTTGTTAGAAGGACAGAAGGGAGGTGATGATGCTGGGGTGGGTGTGAGCCCCTGGGTCCTCACTTAGAAGAAACACAAGCCTTTGGCTTCCCTAGCGCCTGCTGGCAGCCCCTCATCCTCCTGTCTGTGTCAACCTGCTGACTTCATGGGCGCTGGTCCCATAACAGTTTGAAGTGGCTGCCTCCTCGGCCCTGCCTTAGCTCCATGGCGTGGATCCAGAGGCCCTGGGAGGGGAGAAGGCCTGAGTCACCGGGCTTGGAAGACGGACGGGGGGGACAGGACAGCTGTCAGCGGCTCTGTGGCCGGCGTGGCAGGTTGCCCCGAAGAGCAGCTTGGCCACAGGCCATCTCTGGGGACGCTCAGGCCGGCGTTGGGAATTCCTGCCGCAGGGGGCTTTGGGCTTTGCTGCGAGACCGAGTCCCCCCTCAGCAAATGTTTGAGTACCTGCTGTGCTGGGCGGTGGTGGGCGTGACTAGACCCCAGTCCGAGCCCTCGAGGAGGTCACATTCAAACAGAGGAGGAGATGCAGGAGGACATGGCAGGTGCAAAGTATAAAGCGGAGCAGAGAGTGGACCGAGAGGCAGCAGGAGGGCAGGAAGGGGCTGCTTGCTTTAGATTTCTAAACTTCCTATCTATAACTTTTTTGGGGGGGAATTTATTTATTTTTTATTTATTTATTTTTGGCCGCGCTGGGTCTTCGTTGCTGCGCGCGGGCTCTCTAGTTGTGGCGAGCGGGGGCTACTCTTTGTTGCGGTGCGCGGGCTTCTCCTTGCGGCGGCTTCTCTTGCGGAGCACAGGCTCTAGGCGCACGGGCTTCGGTAGTTGTGTCTCGTGGGCTCTAGAACACAGGCTTGGTAGTTGTGGTGCATGGGCTTCGTTGCTCCGCAGCACGTGGGATCTTCCCGGACCAGGGCCCGAACCTCTGTCCCCTGCCTTGGCAGGCAGATTCTTAACTACTGCGCCACCAGGGAAGCCCCCTATCTATACTTGAAAGAAGGAAGCAAGGCCCTCATTCTCCAAGAGTTAAAAGGTTAACATTTTTTCCAAAAAAATTACTGATTTTTTTTCTGGGTAGGTTCTGTTTTTGAATCCAGAAGCAAAATGATCCTATTATGTTATTCCCCAGGTGGCATAACCCAGCTTTTAAGAGTGTAGATTTGCATCCCGACATTATGTACCAGTGTGACCTTGGGAAGTCGTAACCCCTCAGAGCCTCAGTTTCCTCCTCTATACAATGGGGATAATAACTGAATCTACCTCCCAGGGCTGTGGTGAGGATAAAGGGAATTAACATACTTACTTAGAACACAGTAAGCTCTCAATAAAGGCTTACCCGCTATTAGAATCATCACCATCGCTGCCACCGTCACAACCACCCTCACCATCACCACCACCATCACGGGGAATGCACAGACCTGCTTAGGAAAATGAAGGGCTCCAGGTCTGGGTGGTGGTACTGCCTTTGCCCTCTATGCTAAATCCCTTAATTTCGCCGTTTCTGATGGGGATGCGGGCCTAAGCTTGCTTGGAGGTGGAGCGCTTGTTTGCATTTCCACGGCCTGGGCCACGCATCCTCTTCAAGCAGAAGGCCTTTGGCTCATCTGAGCCCGAGAGGAGTTCTGATCCCGCCCCCGTCGCCCTGCTGTGTGGCCCCCTGCTCCCTCTGCCAAGGGAGCCGTGGCCTCCCTGACACCGACCGCCCAGCTGCGCAGAGCTCGGAGCTGGGACATCTGGCGAGCCTCTGCCTGAGCTCCAGGAAAGCCCTGGGCGTGCCGGGGCTTAGCTGGCTTTGGGTCGGCCTCAGCATCACTCCCCCTGTAGCAGCCACTTTCCACAGACTCCTCTTGATCTCTTGGAATCCAGATTAAATTCCAATAATGAGCCAAGCTGGAGGCCTTCCATGGCCTTTGGGCTCCACTTGCAGCTGGAGAGGCCGCCCTTGGCCGGCTGT